AAAAAGAACCTAGTTCGACAGAATGTCGGGATGAAAGAGTGAACAAAAATATAAGTTATTTCTGGCGCGAGTTAGTGTATGGGTCTGGGGGGGGGGGGGAGAGGGTGCGGCGTGTGTGTGTATATGGGAGGGGGGTGGGCTGTGTGATCAGGCGGTGGCAGCCAGGAGGTGGGGAGGAGCGGGGGAGGGGGCTGGTATGGGGGAGGGGGGAGGGGAGAGAAGGGCGACATGCAGGAGACATGGGGCTCACAGAAGGGGGGGCATGTGGCGGAGTGTACAGTCGTCTGCGGGCATGGTGGCGTGGGTAAGTCTGCGCTGACGGTCCGGTTCATCCAGGGCAACTTCCTGGAAAAGTACGACCCGACCATCGAGGACTCGTACCGCAAGCAGGTCGAGGTTGATGGCGTGGCGTGCTTGCTGGACATCCTCGACACGGCTGGGCAGGACGAGTACTCGGCGCTCCGCGACGCATACATGAAGACTGGACAGGGTTTTGTTATCGTCTACGACATCACAGACACGCTCTCGCTCGACACGGTGACCAATCTCCGCGAGAAGATCCTGCGGACAAAGCAGGCGGCCGACGTGCCTATCATGCTGGTGGGCAACAAGGTTGATCTCGAGGACAAGCGCGTGGTGGCGAAGTCCAAGGGTGAGGAGCTTGCGCAGGAGTACAAGTGCTCGTTCATGGAGACATCAGCCAAGACGAACCACAACGTCAAGGAGTTGTTTGAGCAGCTCGTCCGCGAGATCAACCAGTACCAGGACCGCAACCCGGCGGCGAGCTCGTCCAAGTCGGCCGGCGGATCGTCCAAGAAGAAGGGCGGCTGTGCGCTGCTCTGAGCTCGCGAGGCCTCTCCCTTCTGCTGCCGCGCCCTCGCTGCCGTGCCTTTCCTCTCCATTGAACACACACACACACCTCAAGGTCCTGTCTGGGCCAAGATGAGCTTGGCAAAACTGTCTTTCACTTGTCTCGAGCAATTGTAAATAGTGTGAGTTGTTGCCACGGATGATGACGGTGAAGCCAGCACTATCCCGCGGGTCACAATCTTCACAGGCTAGAGCTTGCTCTGGTGGGCGGCAGCCGAGTCGCCACCACCCGAGCCCTCGCGCGAGCGGTTCTCCTTGCAGCAGCAGAGGAAGCCGACGTGGATAAAGCCTGAGATGAAGAAGGCCGTCGAGGCGCCGAGGGCGCAGTAGAACGAGTAGCCGAACGGAATCGTGACGCCCGAGCCGCTGCCAAACGAGCCCTTGCCAATCTCGCGGTCGACACCGGCGTAGGCGATGACAGCAATGATGGCAAGGATGGCGGTAACAAAGTTGAGCGCCGAACCAAACTGCGCCGCCCGGTCCGAGTTACTCTCCACGATCAGGATAGTCCGGCCCTCGGCCATGGCAAAGACCACACCGAAAAAGGTGGCAGGAATGGCAGAAAGAAGTGCGAGGATGGTAAAGGCCGCGCTTGCCGAGCCCGCAGACTTCCACGAGTCGCACACAGCCGACGAGAACTGGTCCTTGCAGTACGGGTCCGAGAACTTGAACGACTGCGTCACGCTGCTGCCGCCAGTAAGCGCTCCCGACCGAAAGTGCTCGCCGCTGAAGAGCCCAACCTTGACGTGCCAGAGGTTGAACGAGTTGATGCCCCAGAGCCACGAAATGGCCGCAACAGCAATGATGAGGCAGATAACGCCGATGACCGCGTTAGCCATGACGCAGCAGTTGCAGCAGCACCACGAGTTGCAGCACCCGGCCTCGCCCTTGCCCTCACCCTTGGCCTTGCCCATGCCCTTTCCGAGTCCCATGCCCTTGCCCATGCTCTGCGTCCCGTGTGTTTGATGGCTTGTGAGTCGTGCGTGGCTTGTGTGTGTGTGGGGTGGGGAGGTGCGCGGTATTCTGAGTACTCACCAGCATATTTTTGCCAAAGAGGCACACAGCTTTTACAACCCTGCTCCGCTCATCCTCCGCCTCCGCTACCCCTGCACCCCTCGGCCCCATTTTCCCACGCTCATCACAATGTCTACAACAGGAGTAGCGGCCTACGAAGCAGCGGGTGCTGGCCCGAAGAGGGCCCACAGATCGCAGGGCGGGTGATTTACGTACTTTGGTGTTGCAGAGAGTTGTGTTGGAGAGTACCAACTGCTGGCCCCAATGGACATTTTTTTGGCCTCTGTTACGCAACGACCGCTCCACCGCCGGGGGGGCACACAAGAAGCAGTTGGGGCCGTACTCTTGCAGGGGGGGGATACGAGATGGGACGGGGGCTAGTGGTGGCTCGAGGAAAGGTCAGCAGACAGAGAGCTAAAGAGTGCGCGGGGAGCCGATGGAGAGCCGTCGACATGGCAGATACGGCTTGAGTACCGCGGTAGGGACTCCGGTGGCTGGCGCTGTCCACGTGGATGGGGGGCGCGCCAGCTGCTGGCTACACATTTCGTTTGATGACATAACCGCACCCAGTGGTGGTTGCAGATGCGCCCATGGGTGGGGCGCGGCGGCAGCCTTGTGGCGACGGCGGGCGACTGTGGTTTGCACGGGTAGATCAGCGGTGCATGGCTGTGCTTGTGTGTTTGTGTGTGTCTTGCGTCAGCGCGAGAGCGGGCAGGGCAGGACAGTGGGGCTACCAGCGCGACTCGAGACGCATCGGCTCGGGCGCGGTGCCAGGGATGGAGCCGTCCCACGAGGTGAGGCGAAAGTACGACGACTTGGAGACCTTTGTGCGGAGCGAGGCGATCTTGTCGTCGATGAGCGCCTTTTGCTCGGCGTACTTGCTCGACTCGCCGGCGCCGCCGTCGTCAGTGATGGCAAGGAGGGCCAGGTTGTTGGCGTCGATGAGCAGCGACGACTGGGCCGAGTAGAGCGAGCCAAGCAGGTACGCCGAAGCCTTCTCGGTATCCTTCTTGAGCCAGTAGCACGAGCCGAGGACCGAGTGGATCTGGGTCTCCATAAAGGCGTCGAGCAGGCGCTGCGAGACTTTGGCCAGTGAGGCCTCCAAGAGGTCGATGACCGAGTTGAGGGCGGTGAGGGTGACCTTGGGCAAGTGTGTCTCGATCTGGGCCCGGAGGAGAGCGTACTCGGCCACAAAGGTCTCGTAGTGCGGGGCGCGGCGGAGGTGCGACTCAAAGATGGCCTCAAGCTCAACCAGCGCCTCCTGCGGCGCGGCCTGGTAGAGGAGGACCTTGACTCGTCCGAGCTGGGCGTACATGGCCACCCGCGGATCATGCGCGGCGGCTTCTAGCGCCAGCGCGTACTGCTTGGCGGCAGCGTCGAGCTCGCCGGCGGCAACGCAAAAGTCGCCGAGCCACGCGTGGAGAAGCCCGCGGTAGACTCGGAGGAACGACGGCGCCGTCTCGCAGTGGGCAAAGAGCGCGTGCAGCGTCAGCAGCGCCTCTTTGACCTTGAACGAGTTGAGACAGAGCTGGAACTCGATCTCGAAAAAGCAAAGCTCAATGACTAGCAGCCGCCGGAGCGCCAGTGGGACCTCGGCGCCGGGCACGCACCGCGCCTCGCCGGCCTCCAGCGCAGCCCGCAGCGCGCGGACCTGCCCGCGCCCGGCCTCTAGTGCCGCAGCCGCCACGCTCATGTCGGTCCCGCGGTAGAGCTGGCACCTCAGCAGCTCAACAAGCGCAAACACTTCGCCGCCCTCCATCCACGGCATGCCCACCGGCGACTCCAGCCGTCCGGGCGCCGCCGCCAGCGCCTCGGCTGCATGCCCAAGCGCAATCTGCACGCCCTTGGCATCGACGTGCACCCCCTTGCGCAGCAACGTCACAGACTGTAGAATGAGCGCATGAACTCGGATCTGCAGGATGCCCGCGGCAAGCGCCGGCGCCTCGCCGCCCTCGCCCGCGCCCGCGGTCTCGGCCACCACCTTCTCCAGAATGGGCGCGCACGCCTCCTCCTTGCACTGCGAGATGAGGGCGTGGACGAGGCAGAGGTCAAAGACGTGCTTGGCCACCATCAGCCTCCCCCCGCGTCCGTTGCTGCTCACCTCACGCAGCGCAGCCACGCCGGCCAGTGCTGCGTCAGCAAGCGTCTTGCCGGCCTCCACCAGCCCGGCCTCAAACTCGATCCGTACCCCGAGACTCGCCAGCGCCAGCCACCACCGGACGTGGAGCTCGGGAGGCGGCGCACCGCCCCTCGGCGGCACAACATCCTCACCGCTCCGCAGGCCAGCCAGGAACTCGCCCCATCCGGTCCCGGCCAGCGCCACCTCGGCCGCCGCCAGGCCGTCGGTCACCTGGCACCGGGCCAGCGCCGCCGCGCCGGCCTCGGCCCCGAGCAGGTACACCCGCGCCAGCAGAGCGTACACCTCGTACTTGGCCTCGGCCGCCCCGGCCAGGTAGCCCACCACCACCCGTGCCTGCTCCAGGTGCCATCGCGCCTCCTTCCGGTTGCTCGTCGCCGCGTACAGCATCTGCGCCAGCCGCAGGTGCGTCGCCAGCTTGACCTCGGCCGCCAGCTCGCTGGGCCCCGCTCCGCCGCCTCCTCCGCCACCACCCCCGCTTCCCGCCATGACCTCTTCCTCGTCAAAGCCGCTGCTCCCCAGTGCCCCGCTGCTGCGGCCGTCGCTGCGGACAAAGACCGCCTCGAGAGCCCTCACCGCCACCGCCACGCTCCCCGAGGCATACGCCGCTTCGGCAAGCTCCCACAGCACCCCTATCCGGGCTTCCTCCCGAGCCTCCACTTCCCCATGCGCCTCGTCTTGCCGCTCCATCCTGGCCATGCTGCGCCTTGTAGCGTTCTCTGAGACGGGTGCGGTAAGGAAGGGGGGTGTGTGCCCCTCCGCCGGAGGGTGATGGGTGGGACATTGGCGATTCTACGACCTTTTTTGGGACACCGGGAGAGGGGAGAGGGAGAGGGAGAGGGGCGAGGGGGATGGGGATGGCTCGTTTGGACACATTATGCCAGGTAGAGGTTGTATGAACACATGCATGTGTAGCTGGTGTTGAGGAGATGATGGTGGGCTTGTAGCAGTAGCATCGTGATAGCGTATCGTGCACGACTGTCGCCTGCGTGTGTGTGTGGTGGGGGGCGGGAGGGTGGGGGGGGGGAAGGAGAAGGTGACGGCGACGAACGACGCGTTGATCATTCCTCCAACGGCAGGCCGTGGGGACGGCCAGGTGGAGCGGGCCACGGGCACAGGCCCGGGCACGGATACAGGGGACATAGCTCTCTCCCACTTCAGATCATGTTCCGTCTCTCGACAATTGGGACGGCAGGGCTTGCGCGGGTCACGGGTATGTGAGGGGGGGTGGGAGGGGGGGGGGGGGGCGGGGGGAACAGGGTGGCTCACAGCGGGCGCGGTGGCTGGGACGGTGGCTGTGACGGACGGTGGCTGTGACGGACGGTGGCTGTGACGGACGGTGGCTGGGACGGTGGCTGGGGTGGCGATGGGCTTGGTGGCGGGTGGATAGGCATGGTGGCGGCGGCGACGTCGTGGAAAGTGGCTGGCGTGGCGGCGGCCCGGGGCATGGCGGACTTGCCGTACTGGGACGACAGCTCGTCGCAACTGCCTGGGTGGGAGGAGGAGCAGTCGCGTGGTGGCGGTGGTGGGTATGGAGGCGGCCGGAACGGCGGCGGCGCGGCGAGTGGTCGGGCTTACGGCGGAAGCGGCGGCGGCGATGGGCAGCCTGTGCACAACGCGCGGTATGCGCTGTACAAAGCGACCAAGAGCGAGATGCGAGGGGCGGCTGTCCAGTTCTCGTACTCGTTCACGGCAAAGGCTATGTTTGTCGAGGGTGCCAAGCAGGCCGGCGACAAGCTGAGCCCGGGCGCCTCGGGCCGGCAGTTTGACTGGGACAACAAGGTCGTCATCAAGCTCTCGGTCACCGAACTCGGCAAGATGCTTGCTGTCATCGACGGCAAGGCGCCTGAGGCCTCGTTCTTCCACTCGATCATGCCGCGCGGTGACGGCGGCGGCAGCAGCGGTGGAAAGATCCAGTCGAAGCTCGACTTTAAGGACAACGAGACCAACTACATCCTCGGCATTTCGCGGCGGACTGGCGACCAGCCGGCCCAGTCGCTCGGCCTGTACGTCGACATCGGCGAGGCCCAGGTGCTGCGAGTCGTGCTTGAGGCTGCCATCAAGGACGCGGCGGGTTTTGAGCCCGATGCGACTGTACGGCAGAGCACAGGGCAGCGCGGGGCGGTGCCTACACAAAGTCGATCGAGGCTTGCATAAATGCTGACCGCGAGAGCGCGCTCGCGGAAGTCGCCGAGGCTTGGCGGACAATCGGAACCTCGTCCGACGCCATCGAGTACGTGTACGTCTCGTCAAAGCACGAGCCCGAAGTCACATCCGACGTCGAGTACGAGTACCGCGAGTAAGAGACGGCGTTCCGAGGCCCGCGACCAAGCTCAGAGGTTGAGGTCTCCGACGAGACTGGCGGCGTCACGCCGCGGCGGAACGGCTGCGGCTGCGGCGCTGGCGAGACTGAGCTGTCGTCCCGCTCCGAGTAGTAGCTGTAGTACGACGACGACGCAAAGTCCCGAGTGGCGACGCGGGCCGGTGCGCGCGGCGCAGCCTCCTTCTCGTCGTAGTACTCGTACGACGACGATGCGTCGGCCATAGGCGGGCCAAGAGCAATGACGCCATCAGCAGGCGCGGCGGGAGCCTCGGGCTCGGGCTCGGCTAGTGGCGGCGGCATCATGATGATCACTCCGTCACCGGCGGAGGCCGCGCTCTCGGACGACATGTCCGAGACAGGCGGAGGCGGCATCATGATGACAACGTCGCCGGAAGCGATGGCGGCCCGCGAGTCGGACTCTCCGGTGTACTCGCTCGTCTGCGAGTCGTAGAGCGACGAGGTCTCGCGCGATGCGCTGTTCTCGTCTTCCGCGGCGGCGGCGGCGGCGGCCATGGCCGCGCGCGTCGACGCGTGAATGGTGACGGTCTTGATGTTGCGGAGAGCGTCGCGCTTGGCCTGGGCTCGGGCAGCCGCGATGCGCTGCAGCCGCTCGCGGCCTTGGGCATCGGAAGCCAGCGTAGCCTTGATGTAGAGATAGATGTTGGAGATGCCCATACCGACGACAATGCACATGACGTAGCCGTTGACAACGCCGACCACAGCAGCCCGTGCCGGCGCACCCTCGGCGGCGATAAATGCTCCCAGGACGCAGAGCCCGAGCAGCGCAGGAATGAGCGCAAGCTCGGAGAGCACGAGCCGCGCCACTGCGTTGGAGTAGTACACCCGCGTAAAGTGGGCCATTGTCCGGCTTCGGGTGTACGGGTTCGCCTCCTTCTCAAACCGTCTCACAAGCGCCTGGGTCCGCTGCCGGTAGCGGTTGACATGGTGCAGCGGTGCCTTGAGTACAACCTCGTAGACAAGGCCAGCAACGGCGAGGCCGAGCGGGGCGGCCCACGGCAGAAAGTCGCCATCGACAACGTCACCGAGCTTGATGAACACGCCGCCAAGAACGAGGACACGCCAGAGCCACGACGACCAGAGGTAAAGGTAGTAGCCAAAGCAGCCGAGGCCAAGGTTACGCGGGTACGGCATGGCGCCGCCAACAGCTTTGCCGTCACGGAGCTTCTGCAGTGCACGGATGTACTTGAGCTCGGTCTTTGAGTAGCCAGCCGCGGTGGCGTTCTCTACAGCGTTGATGAGCTCGGCGAGGGCAAGGACGGCAAACGGCATCCACGGCTTGATGGCGTCGGGCGAGCCGTCGGCGGCCATGGCGATGAGGACCAGGGCCACAAAGAGGCAGACACCGCGAGCAAAGCGCTTCCAAGTGAAGAGGCGGGCCACCTCCCACGGCCCCTCGTACGGTGTCTTGGTTCGGGCGCGGGCCTTGGCTTTGGCCTTGGCGCGAGCCTTGGCCTGGGCCTTGACGGCCTTGGCCCGGGCCTTGGCCGCGCGCTGGGCGCGAGTTCGCGAATCACTTGTCTTGGCCGCCTCCTCCTGCTCCTCATGCTCGCTCTCGCTCTCCGCGTTGGCGTCAGCGGCGGGGCTGGCGGCCCCGTCGGCGCCGCCGCTGCGTTCCGCCTTGCGAATCTTGGCCTCGGTCTGCAGCCGATAGGCGCGCTTGTTGTGGCGGGTCACCGAGCCGCGGTAGCAGAGGTAGCACAAAACAACGGCAAGCCAGAAGAGCACAAGTAGCAGCGCCGGGATGAAGCCGGCAGTGTACGACGCCGAGTCTTTGGCAACGGCGGTGCCAATAAACGCCGATGCAATGAGAAAGGGGACTACGATGCAGAGCGTCGACGGCACGATGTAGCACATGACAAGAGGCAACGAAAAGGCCGGATGGCGGAGCCAGATGGGCCGCGGGTAGCCCTTGCGGGCAAGGCGCTCGTCATCGGCAGCATCGCGGGCGTCCTCATCTCCTCGAGCATGGTCTTGTGTTGGTGAAACTCGACGCCACCGGCGCCGTACTTGTTGTACACCGTCCTTAGCTGCGGATTCGACAGCACGTCGTACGCCTTGTGAACAAGTTCGAACATGGCCGTCCCGCCCGCGTTCTTGTCGGGATGATATCGCAGTGCCATCCGACGAAACTGTTTCTTGATTTCGGAATCGCTTGCCCGCAGCCCGACTCCCAGAATCTAGTTGAAGTTGGCGGTGTGAGACAGTTGTGTGGCATGACAAGGGATGAGGTTGATTGTGGCGTGAGTAGTTGAGCGGGAGTGTCGCTCATGGTTGCCATTGCAACCGCACCCTGCAGCGATCAGCCGTGCCAGACCCGCGCCCTGCAGCGATCAGCAGCACCCGACCCGCGCCCAGCAGCAATCAGCAGCACCCGACCCGCGCCCAGCAGCAATCAACTCAAGTCATCCAACCTCGTGCGGCCCATTCCCCACCCACCACCGCATCAGGACGAGACCTCCCCCGCCCCACTCCCACCACCGTTGGCGCCTGGCAGCCATCGAGACAGCGGCCATGCCACCACAGCCAGTGCAAGCTGAAGCAAGTACGCTGTATCCCCCCACCGCAGCCCATCAGCAGCACATTCCCCAGAATCAAAGGTTGCCACCCCCCTCCCCCCCCCCTTCCCTTCCCCCCCCCCCCCCCCCCCCGTCCCCGACTCGTACCTCGTAGAACCGCATGTTGTCGATGATGGGAGGCAGCTCAGACTGCTCCCCAGGCATGGCTGACCCTTGCTGCTCCGCCATGGCTGCAGTGGGCAGTGGAGGGAAGGGTGCCAGGTAGTGGAAGTAGAGTGGGGTGGGGTGGGGGGTGCGGAGCAATGGCACAGGGGGGGAAGGTGGAGAGGGGGAGGAGGTGTGGAGAGGGGGGAGGGAGAGGGAGGAGAGGGAGGAGAGCGGGGGGGCACTGCGGAACGAAGGTAACGAACAATGGCAGCCACC